AATTTCTTTTTATATTTTCCATGGTGTAAGTGTAATATCCAGCATCATTAAATCAATTAGACTTTTCCATTGACTTCAATAAAGCCAGGGTTTCACCTCTTTTGTTTAGAGTGTGCACTTTCAAGGATTGAGATAAAATATTATTTACTTCTTCAGTTTGCTAGAAGAAAATGCATAATGCCATATACCTCATTTTTAAGAATTTTATCTTTTACATAGCCGTTTATAGAGATCTCCCTAACTTAAGATGCTTATTACAGCAGCACATCTTGTTTTGCCCCTTCCAAAAATGATGCTTATTTCATTCAACTTTTTACCAAAAGTAAAACGCTTCTGTTATTTGTGCAAGGTATTGTTATTCATGCTAAGGACATTAATCCCACATGATTCTAAGGTCCAAGTATTGCTTTGGTTTAGCTTGGTTTGGGTTTACGGGTAGGGCTGTGCAAAATGGGCCCTATTTGATTCAGATTTGGATTCAGCCTGAATCTGGGACAGTGATTCAATTTGTTGATTCAGATTTCTGTCCCTTATTCGATTTGGACGAATCTGAAGATTCAATGCTGACTTGGTGAATTAGCAATTTGGCCACAGGCACAGCTTTAAAAGTTTTTTCTCCATACCTCGAGGTAGCAGCATGGCTCATGATTGCTGTGGTGCTGGGGTGCATGAAGTGTCCCACAGGAGCACGGGGGGCTCTCCAGTGAACCCAGAAGTGGACCAGAACTACTTCTGGTCCACTTCTGGGTCTGCCAGGGAGCATGCTGTGGGGCCCCCCAGCTCAGTGATGGGCTGCAGGGGGACCCCGGGTACCCCCCCCCTCGACCCAGGAGGCACCAGTCACTGAACTGGGGAAGTGCAGGGGGGCCCCCCTGCATGCTCCCCATTGGACCAGGAAGTGGACTGGAAGTGCTACTGATCCACTTCCAGATCTAGCTGCCAAGCATGCTGGAGAGGCCCCTGTGCATCTGTGGGACACTGCATCTACCCCAGCACTGCACCATTTGGAGCCCTTGCTACCTAGAGGTATGTAGAAAAAACATTTAAAGCTGTATCTACATCCAAATTGCCAAATCTGTCCCAATCTCTCCAAATCGATTTGGAGAGATTAAAAGTTCCTCTGATTCGATTCGGATTCAGAGATTTAGCCACCAAATTAGACCGAATCTCTGCCAAATCGAATCAGGGACTGAAGCTTCACACAGCCCTATTTACAGGTAGGTTTATCATGCACATGTACCCCTATCTAGTCTTGCTCTTATACTTAGTTATCTACCACAACCCTCCCCCCACCCCCATAATATTTGGCCTCTAAGTAAAGCAATTCAAAATCAAGAATCCACAAATATCTGAGTGAATTTTTCAGTTTGAAGACAATGAATAAAAAAGAACAAATGGAATAAATAGTGTTGAAGTGGTATGGGTATACAAAACCTATATTGCTTCCAAAACATAGTTAGGTTTTAACCTGACATTTTGAGATATTTTTCAGGCCATGCTTGTTAGTCATACCTAGCAACATGAATTATTCATTAACATGAGAGCCATCCAAACTAATTGCTTTAAAATGTCTTACACTTATAAAACATAACAGAAACCCACTTATAATATCTTCTTTGTCTTAAGTAATGCTGTTTTTCTTTCTCTTAGAGATTATTAATGAGGAAGCCTATTATTTCTTCTTCTAAAACCTCAAGTTTTCTTCAGGATAGACTCCTGTTTATATTTTTCACTTTAAAAATACCATGATTCCTCTCTATTTCATGTTACAAACAAGCCACTTGGGTTCCATCATTTTTATTTTACTGAAAAATTGCCTGGAATATTATATGATTTATGACTGCTAGTTAATTTTGCAGGTTGCCTTTGATCAATTCAAGCCCTGTTGAGCTGTAAATATGGAACAGCATTGAAAGTTAGATTAAATAACCTATATTTTTATTTATGTCTCCTTTTCCAAAATTCACATAACTTCAGAATGATGCTAGCATCTAATCTAAAGAGAGTTTGGTTTTCCTAAGCACAGTTATCTTGGAAATATCTCATTAGGGAAAATAAAGGTATGTGGCTGGAAACTCTTCAAACTTTTTGATATATCTATTTCTATAATAAAGAAAGTATTGTTTCAGTGTGAAACACAAACACACACACATACATACACACACACACATACTGAGACCCTCAAACTACACTAGTAGCCCTTAAAAAGTACACAAGTAGTCATACCTGTAGTCATTAAAACACTTCTTAAAGATGAGATGGTAATGATCCTGCCATTCATTTTTTTGTCTAATAGTTTGAATGCTTGCCTAAAAACTAGGAGATGAAAATTTAATTCTTTCCACAGGCATCTCTCACCGCAGCATAAAAGCACCTTAACCACCAGTGCACTCTTGATCTCTCCCATTGAAGACGTGTCTCTGTTCAGAAAGAGCTAACATTAATGGGGCCAAAAAGAGAGCACCGGTGAAAGCATGGCACTCAGTTGAGAGTGGTTAGGGGAATGGCCCTGGTCCCTCCCTCAAGAATTGTTTATGCATTTACACTGAACAGGCACTGAATAAATAACCTGGGACCTCCTAAGTGAGAATTCTGATTACAAGGATACATGGTCATGCTTCCAATTTGTGCTATCTTTTTGGCTATTTTGCATTCTTTTCTGCAGAGTAGCACAGCTTCAAGAGGAGGATTAGAGTGCTTGCACCCAGCTTAGCCTATAGCATCATATAACCAAAGCACTACCACTTGCTGGTAAAATGATCTTCTAGACTAGAATATAAAAGATGGGTGGCATCACCATCTCCCCCACCCCTCTTCCCTCCCCCTCCCCCCCATTCTACACACACCCTTACTACTGTCATTTTAAAACAAAATAGTGAATCTTGCACAACTCCTGTGTGCACAGGCACAGTCTGGATGGCTAGAGGAAAGTGGGGAGATCACTTTGCCACTTGTTCTGCGCCATCAGGAGCAGGACAAGCAGTGAAGTGTGTTTCTTCCAGTGAAGAGGATCAGCAGTGCCACAACACATATAGTATCTCTACACAGATATCTCTTCTGAGTCAATATGACCCTATATGTCATATATATTTTCATGTCAAAAGAAGTAAGAACATATATAGAAGGCATCTATGCATCCCCCTACAGCACCATTGTTACTACACCACCTTTAAGTACTTCCTTTTGGACATACTAAATGATGGCACAGTAACAGCCCATACTGCACTGTGCTGGCAGCACATGGAGGGTTTTTTTGCCACAATGTCACCATAGCAACATGCTATAGCAAGGGAGCATGTTGCTACAGTGACATAGCTGCAGCCTCCAAGTTTGTGCCCACCAACACTACGTCGCCATAGCATGTTGCTACGGAGACATAGCATCACATGTAGATGCACTCAGAGAGGCATTATCAGTATTCTGCCCAGACTTGTTTCCAGCATCTGCAAAAGTCTGGGTTCAAGTCTAGCATCACGGTTATGGACACAATAGTTTGTCAGCAGTTTAAGGCCACAGAGAGAGTTCCCGCTTCTCCACTGAGGTCAAAAGGCAACATATGAGATTCTCTTTTTTATTTCTACTTCACCAGTAGAAGCTTCTGGTATTGTAGCTATTGTTTAAACCTACCACCTATTATCATTGCACTCACAGTCCTAATTGTGTACAATAAAATGAAGGAAAGATGGGAGAAAAGAGTTTCCTGGGATATAATGTATAAACCAGACCTTTTCTATGTGATATTTTGAATTACTAACTTCCAAGTCTTTTGACCTTTTCACATTGGCCAGCCTAGGAGTTTTCCAGACAATTGGCATTTTTAGAATGCATTCATTATGGGGAAGGCACTATGGCACAGAGAAATATTTGAAAGATACATTTTCCTTTAAAATGATTTTGCTACCCCACCTTTTAAGTGACTGTTGGCTCAGAGATGCAAAAAAGGCAACAGTGGTCTTTACTCCTAGATATCTTAACTGATCTGAGCAGCTGAAAAAGAAACCCAAAATAAAGTCTGCATGAATATCAAAAATAATAATAAAAAACCCTCTTCTTTTTCACCACAGAAAGTCACTATCCTAAAAAAACTTGCTGTTAGCCTGTGTATCTTGCATTTCCCTACTTTTCCAAGAGGTCAATACTGAAAAAAAAATATTATTTTGAAAAATAATCCTATTAACAACAGCATGACAAAGGAAATCAATTTGCAGTAAACAATCTGCTACTGATGGAAGAAACATGATGTAAAATGAAAAGTTTCAGATTCTATTGGGGAAACTCATAACATTATAAAAAAAAAAACTTTTCCTCTATAAAGGAGTATTGGAAACAAAATAAAGATGTCCTGAATTACGGTTCTTTGTAGTCAAGATTTTTGGCAACTTCTTACATTTTTCAGTAAATACCCCATCCTTATTACTAGTTTCCTTCCACTAAAATGTGAAAATTAGGGGAAAAATGTTCTGTATAAAAAGAATTTTCCTAGCCCTCTTACTTACTCTGCCAATTATTTTTGTGTATACTTGTAATTAAAGCCATTCAGAGCTGCATCAGCCTTGACTTGTAGAGATCAATACCATAGTTTAACAGAAAGATGATGATCTGCGTCGTTAGTAGACTTTGCCCATACTTGTACAAATAAGATTAGAAGCAGCATGTATAGTGAGCTGTAAGTACATGACATTTTCCCAATAAGTGTTTTTCATTATTTTGAAGTGTGCATAAAACTCCTGCCACATTGAATCTTCCAATTCTGTACCATATGTCATTTAGGATTTGAGTTCTGCTAGTACCCAAGCTACCTGACAAGAAAGTTACCTCTTTACTGATGTATTATTCTAGACAAAATAGCAAAGATTTAAATCCATCATGCATGGCCCAATATTTAGGTCCTTAGACATATCTAGGAAAGATTCCAAGTGACACCAATAGAGTTTTACCCAAGTCTTGAGGAAGGATGATTTGGCCCTCAGACATTTTCATGTATATTAATAGCCACATAACCTACACAGGAAAATGGCACTCATTCCGGTATAAGAATATCCACATGAGGCATTACATCAGTGTAACTATAAAAGATTAAGAACATCAGTATAATTATCCTGGTAAATTTCCCCAGGTAGCCAGTCCCTAATGTGCCCGATGTTACAACTGGAAGGTCATGGAAAATACACTTCACAGTAAATTCTAAACATTGCAAAAATATGTCTGTGGCACAGATAAAGAACATATTGATAAGGGATGGCGTACAAGAATTCTCTTATACACCTAACATGTCCATAACTGATTTCCACAAGATATCACTGAGGCCAGGAACTTAGTAGACTTCAGAAAAAGATTAGAAATATATGACCAATGAGAAAAATCAACATCTACAATATTTAGGACAAATGACTACATGAAATATAAACCATCCAGGTTTAAGCCAACCAATGATGGAAAGGGTTAAAATGTCATTTCTCCTAAATAGTTCATTCCATAATTGTCTATTATGAGGGGTTTTACACCTTTTCTTGAAGCTTCTAATACTAGTTGCAGTTAGAAACAGGCTGCTGGGCAAATGGTTTGACCCGGTATAAACATTCTTATATTTAATTCCTGTTAAAACTATATACTAGATCATACAACATACTTTGATTCTTCCCCAATTGTTAAAGCAAACTAGTGAATGACATCCAAATACAAAAGAAAGATAACCCCAGAAATGCTTTACCTACTACTACACAATTAAAAACAAAAGGCTTCTGTAATATATCTAATTATATATCTACTTGCTTTTAATTGCAAATGCCAGTCAATCATTTTCATGAGGAAACTTACCAATATACTCTGAAGTACATAATGTAGTTTTAAATGTCTGTAAGAGACAAACACAGCAATAAATGTAAGTATTCTGCTTTTGTTATTCAGAGAATGATAATGCTGAACCTAAAATTCACTCAATTTTCCAGGATGAAGCAACATGTTTGCTCATTTGGAGAAATGGAAAACAATTGCAGAACAATTTGTTTCATTTTTTCCATTAAACAGGAACTAAAAATCCCCTTCTGTTTTGCTGGATTCATTCTTACCCTAGTAGCACAACATAATAATATCATCATTTCACTTTGCAATGGACCCAGCAGCTTCTTTCTCTAATAGCCTTCTTAGACTTTCAGTATCATTGTAGTGATTGCAAGACATGAATACCTCCTGCAGTTCTTAAAGTGGCTTCAGTGTATTTCATAACACATTTTTATAAGCAAGTGACATTTCCTTGTGTTTTCAGTTCTCCAGAATAATTTAGAACATACATTACTGGTTCATATAAATTTGTTAACTGCAGGATTGCAAAGAGGTTGGGGGGGGGGTTCTTCCTTCTGTTTTTGTTTTAACTTCTGTTAAAACTTATTGCCGTGTTCAAAAGAAACTCATCAAACCACATAAAATATAAAAATTGTGTAGGAAATGGCTTCAAATACCAGAGACTTTGTCTGAACTGAAATGCTTATCATTTAAAAAGAGTGTTTCCATTTCATTTCAAAAGGGCAACTATCCAGCTGATGACTGGATAGTTCATATAAGAATTAATGAGATATGAATCCCTTCATCAGTTTACATTGTGCATGGGTTGGTAGCAACTGTTAGGGCCTTGTTACACATTGCACTTTGAACTGCTTAAATGTTGATCTGTGTTAGTGCTAACTAAAGTTTGGAGTGATCACACCTTAAGGCTAAAAACTTTCTCTGACTATATTCTACCTGTACAGCTGTGAGTTGCTACTAGAGGGCTAGCGAGCAGGAGCCTGACTAGCAGCTACAGCTGTGAGTTGCCACTACAGGCCTGGTGAGCCAGGACAGGCTTCTACCCCTGGTCTACATAGCAGGATGCGAGATAAAGGTGGGGAGGAGAGTGGGAATATGAAGCTGGGAGGCAGAGAGTTAATGGGATGAGGGTAGGTAATGAAATGGAAAGTGGAAAGGAAATGGGAGTGAGGCAAGGGTGGCAAAATGAAGTCAGTCAGTCACTGACAGATAAAATAAAAGATGTAAAAAAAAAAAAAGGATTTAAAAAGAAATAAAGAGGAAGTACATTAAATAACGTCTCATGTTTCAATAAACTGGGATCTAGGATTGGGGTATGGGGGATGCTAATTGTGGTTCCTGGGATGGCTGGGAGGTGGAAGCAGTGAGGGAAGGCACTTTTTGGAGAGCTGTTGCCCCTGCTCATGGGGAAGAAAGCCCCAACTCATGGGAACTCAATCTAGCCCCCAATCTTGTTTCCCTCTCACCCTTCTAGACCCCAGTCCTGGACCTGTCCATGCCCTGCAGCCTGACTAGCTGGCATGTGCTCTTGAGGCTGTTTGCACTAGGTTGCACCCCTGGAGGTGGGAAGGTCACACCCCCAGGGGCAGGAGGGGGAGTTGGCTTGGTGCCAGAACCATCTCTGGGCAGCAGAGATCAGGAGGTGGAAAGTTTGTCCACACAGAACAGGATGGTGGGGAAGGGAACACTGCATCTTGGGATGCAGAAAGACTGCAACTTGGGTGGCTCATCAATGGGGAGAGGCCATACATTAATGAACATGACTTAGATGACATAGAGCAGAGATAAATCTGTTCTGGAGTGGTGTAATTTTAAGGCACCTAAAATGTGCTTAAAAATAATTTCAGGTATTAATGTGTGGTCAATCCAGAGGTTAAGAGCTCTTGCAGCCACCTAAAATTAAAGTGCAACAAGGCCCTAAGTCATTATTCCACAACAGGTATTATTTTGTGGCAGCAGGACCTTATGCAAGATCTAATGTTCAATGAATTCAATTAAAAGATTTGCCTTGGTTTTATCGGACTTTGGATCTAGTTTTTCATGAGCTAATTTCTGTATCTGAAAAAAACCAGCATTTGGTACACACAGCAGTAAGGCAAAGACTAAAAGGGCATGAAGAAGAAACTAATGCTTGTTCTTCCATGTGAAGCTGAAATACAGAAGAAGGTTGTGGTGGTGAAGCTTGCCAAATTTTTAGCAATTCTACAGACAAAACTGAATATTTCAGTTCCCAGGCCCGTCAATTGGATGCTTTAAACAAGCACAAATTTCATTTTAGTAGAAAAAGTAAGAACAGGAAAAGAAAAAAACAATACCATTCCCATTAATCTCTTCTTCATCTGTTTAGTTTTTAGGAATGTATCTGAGGCTCAGCCAAGTCTAGAATAAATACTTAACCAGTGGCTATGCCTGCTAATTGTCTGTAAGGCCTATAGGTTAAACAATGTCAGCTAAAACAGGGCTCAGAAGGGTGCACAATTACCAACTCATGTTTGTAGGTTTATTTCTCAGGTATTTAACTCCCTGCATATTGATTGGTTAATAATGTTCTTCAATCAATCAGAACATAAAAACCATCACAATTAAAAGTAATTACTGCACAGCAATTATATAAAAACTGTTACTTTAAATATTCCATATTTTTCTACTATGACTTACTAATAGCCTGAACTCATCTCCCATTAACCCAAAACAAATAGAGATTGCTTAAGTTCTGAACTCTCAGCAATCTTTTATTCCTCCTAACTATAGCCATTAAACCATTCTAAAACTATCATTTAGTTTTAAATGGAATGACAGTGGAAAGAAGAAACTTACCCCATTCTGAAACAAAAAAGAAAGATGAATTAAAGCAACTCCAGCTAAGTGAAATGATAGAAAAAGAAAGGAGTTAAAAGCTGAGGTAGTCCTTTTGTTTGTAGGTACCACTAATTATCCCTAGTAGATAGTTCTTTAGGTGGCATCAGCATCTACTACAGTTTTAGGAAAGCTTGGAGCTGCTTTATAGTAGGGCTGGCTTCACTGGGCATGTCTACACATGTGCTTTACTGAACAGTAGACTAATTTACTGCACAGTAAAGCATCACCGTTTACATATGCATGGCAATTTGGCTGGTGTAGGCTCATTTACAGTGCCATCAGATCATCCTGTCAGACACAGGTATTATCTGACAGCAGAGTAAATTACTGCACTTAAACGCCCAAGTAGACAGTGACATCAGGAGTAGTTTACTCTGGAACAAATTTAACCAGAGTATATTCAGTCACATTCATTGGAATTGCACGTGCAGACGTGCCCTCTGTCACCAAATCTCAACTAGCATTTTGGCTTTCTTCCGTAGCAGCGCTCATCAAAAGTAACAGTTAAACTTGCTGGCCCATAACTTTCAACTAGGAATAATTAAACACAGGGTTTAAACCTTTAAGACAAAATCCTATTGTATCCAGCATGATAGACTACTGTTGTTAAGAGTGGTCTTCAAACATCTTTGATAAGTGAAATTATGTTAAGTGTAGGAAGTCGACATTGCAGTAAAGAGTTTCCATTTTAAACCTACATGAAAAATTAAAGCCCAGCATACACCACATGAAGTATTAAATTTTGCATAAACTAACATTTCAAATCAAGGGCTTTTGGCTTACTTTAACTATGGTATCAGTTTAGTATCAGACAGAACTTTTTGTTTAAGGAATATAGGCTAAAATGGCAGGAGAATAAATTCAGTTTCTGATGTCTTTCCACCTACAGTTTCTTTGATTTCCAGCTGTAACCTAGTTAAAATAAGATGACAAATCTTTTCACTAAAGGAAACTATTGCTCTGTTCTACTTCTCAACTTTTTATGTTATTTAGGATGTGGGAGCAAGAACTTCAGCTGTTTGACTAGAGCAGAGAAATTTTGCTTTCATATCTGTAAACATGATCCTCTGAAGGATTTCCTGAGTGTTTCGGTGAATAATTTTACTTGTATGTCAACCTCAGCATGATGGAGGTATTCTAAGAGCTAACCTCAAAAGCAAGTTCCTCTTGAGGTAATAAGATGCCACACTTTCACCTTTGGAGAGGCATTCAGCTAGGAGATTATAAAAAATAATAATTAAATTGACATTGGAAAGTATGAACAAAGACATTTTGTTAATTTGTACAGATAATGAATATTTAATACTAAAATGTTTTTCCTTGCCAGTGTGCAAAATGTTACCTTATCGAAGCTGCAATGATTAAATGGCAGGAGATAGCATTTGAATTGGTTTCTAAAAAGCTTCCTTTCCATTTTTCAGAACATTACAGAAAGTATTAGATATGTTCCCTGACCTTTTAGGTAATATATTGTAGTCCATAATGAAATATAGCACAAGAAGAAATAACTCGCTTTTGTATTATCATCTAGGCTTTTTCACATTTATTTTTCTCTTTCTTTTTGACACATTCTTACACAAGTACAATGTAAGTAGAAGACATTCTTTCAGTATGATCCAAAATGACTCCATCAGACATCAGTCCTCTTTTATATATATATATTGAAAAAATGCTCTCTTCTGAGCCCAACACTGTAAGATACATTATAATATTAGCAAGATCAAAATCTCCACTGTTTAGTAGGTATTTTGCCTTCACTGGAGTCACCAATAACAACATACAACTATAAAATACTATTTATTGAATATAGTATTGAATATACAGTCTATATAGTATTTTATAGTTGTATGTTGTTATTGGTGACTCCAGTGAAGGCAAAATACCTACTAAACAGTGGAGATTTTGATCTTGCTAATATTATAATGTATCTTACAGTGTTGGGCTCAGAAGAGAGCATTTTTTCAATATATATATATAAAAGAGGACTGATGTCTGATGGAGTCATTTTGGATCATACTGAAAGAATGTCTTCTACTTACATT